CCCAGTAGGCTGGGTTTTTGACAGTAAAGAGGAAAAGTGATAAATAGAGCCAAGATCGTTATTTCTCAGGCCAGCATTAGAACCCTAGGGATGGCAGTGGTGCCCCGCTGTTAATCTAGTCCTGCTCTTTCCTGTCCCCACCCGCTAAAACAACATGGAGCTTACACAAATGCAAGTCACTGGGGCATGATTTCTGACTCCGCACCTGTTGCAACTCTTGCTTTCTGAATGACAGTTTTTTGAGAACCACTACGTTAGATGGGCTCCATCCTGCACATCAGTTCTGGCACCACCAGGGGCCTTAAAGTGTAGGGTTACGCATCTGGGATGGTTGCGTGCGTGGTTCGTCCTCCCCATCTTGGCCCAGGTTTGCTCCATCCTCTTCAGCTGTCCTGCCTCTCCGGGCTTCTCCCTCCATTTGATTCTTCTCTGCTAGGGCCTGTTTGCTTCTCATCCTCTTTTAAAGGAAAGACAGCCTTCTTCAATGCTGCCTTTTTTTTTTTTTTTTAAGATTTATTTATTTTATTTTATTTGAAAGTTAGAGTTACACACAGAGAGAAGGAGAGGCAGAGAGAGAGAGAGAGATAGGTCTTCCATCTGCTGGTTCACTCCCCAATTGGCTGTAACAGCCAGAGCTGAGCCGATCCGAAGCCAGGAGCTTCTTCCAGGTCTCATGCGGGTGCAGGGGCCCAAAGACTTGAGCCATCCTCCACTGCTTTCCCAGGCCATAGCAGAGAGCTGGATTGGAAGTGGAACAGCGGGTCTCAAACTGGTGCCCATATGGGGTACCGGCTCCCCAGGCCAGAGCGTTAACCCGCTGCGGCACAGCACTGGCCCCTCAATTGTGCTTTTTTATTTTTGTTTGACAGTCAGAGTGGACAGTGAGAGAGAGAGACAGAGAGAAAGGTCTTCCTTTTGCCGTTGGTTCACCTCCAATTGCCGCCGCGGCCTGTACGCTGCAGCCGATGCACCGCACTGATCCGAAGCCAGAAGCCAGGTGCTTCCTCCTGGTCTCCCATGGGGTGCAGGGCCCAAGGACCTGAGCCATCCTCCACTGCGCTCCCTGGCCACAGCAGAGAGCTGGCCTGGAAGAGGGGCAACCGGGACAGAATCTGGCGCCCCGACCGGGACTAGAACCCGGTGTGCCGGCGCCACAGGCAGAAGATTAGCCTAGTGAGCCGCAGCGCCAGCCTCAGTGCTGCTTTAATACAGCTCCTGTCTTACTTTCCACCCAATCATAAAGACTTTAGTCTTCCTCGTTATTTCACCTTCCACTGATTCTGGCAGCTTCGTGGAGACGGCGTCCTGCTGGGCTTCAGCGCTCACTCCTTCGGCGGGGTCCTCGCGGACGGCCCTGTAGGCGGGTCATTTCCCCTCCATGAAGTCACTGCCCCTGCAAGTCTGTTCACCTTTGTTCTAGAGCCTCCTGTGTTCTCGCTGTCTTGAGTGTGCCTCAGTCCTCATGTATAAGACAGTGCAGGTAATACACTGAAGGTCGTGGGAGGGTGCCCAGCACGTTGGAAGTACGCAGTGAGTGACAGCTGTCCCCTCATCCTCACTGTCTAGCGCTGTGTGCAGGCCTGGCTTTGGCGTAAGATCCGCAGGGCTGCCAGGTGTCCTCTGTGGCGACTCGCAGAGGTGAGGGAGGCTGAGCGCCACGGTGCGTTGCTTCTCGCTGCTTTCGGGGAAGACCGGGTCCCTTCAGCTGTGGTCTGGTCCGTCTCGGGGCCATGTCCAAATTGTTCTGGAGAGCCATTCCTGTTCAGAAAGGCAGAATCCGAGTTCGTGCCCTCAACTGTAAAATCTCGCCGGCGGGGGCAGGGGCGGAATTCAGCTCCCTGAGTTATGCCAGGCAGCGTCTTATCAGCGCACAGATTGACTGACCGAGTTCTCCTGGCCAGTCACACGCACGTGAAGACCGCCCGTGGACTCTGCGGACCGAGATCATTTCCAGAAAACAGAAACTGAAAGCCCAGTCCCGTTGCCTAGGCCGCGGCTTCTTGGCGTTTACTGTTCACCTGTTATAAACTCGTAAAGCAAGGGAGGCCCTGCCCAGGCCTGCACTTCGCCTGGTCAGCTGATCTGTGTGGTTGGGGAAGACGGGAGGAGGGGATGTTAGAGGAGCCTGGTATTTTCTGGTTTTAGCCTTTCACTTTTTCTCCCCGTGGCTGCACACAGTTGCAAATTTGAGGGAATGCTGTATATTGTGCTTCAATTATTTTTCTTGTTGAGTACCCCAAGAAGGGTAAAACAAAGTGAACTCTGAAGCATGCTTTTGGACCCCTGGAGGGGTCAGGGCACCCCAGGGGACCCGAGGCGCTCCGCATTCCGCAGGCCTCGGGCCAGCTTTACCCCCGCCCAGCTTGCTTCCCAAGGCGTCCTGTGTGCCGAGCATCTCTGCATTTTGTCTGAATCCAAAAACCTCCCTGAAGTCAAAACAGCAGTCACTCGTGGGATCCTCTTCTCTCTCGGCCTGTTTCACTGTGTTTCCTACTTACTTTTTACCTCCTGGTACTAATTTCCTGGTTTTCTGTAAAATATTTGAAGGAGAAACTGGTGCCACAAAGGCTGCCACTTAGTCTGGTCGCTCATTGAGAGTTATCACTGAACATTAGCAAGCACTGTCTGGTTTCAGAAATGTCGCCTTTCCTCCCCTCCCCCCCCACTCATGGGTAGTAAATAAGAGGCAGTGTTGTCTCCTGGGAACTGTTGGTTAAAAAGTAGCTTTAAAACAGGCAAAGTTAGAGGGAGATTGGGATGTAAATACGCATAGCAATTCCATCATTGATGGACAAGATAGAAGTTGGAGGGCTGGCCTGGGTCTCTGAGCCGTGGAGAGAAGTGCACCGGCGGTCACAGAACCCTTCCACGACAGAGGGTAGATCACACCTCTCCCCTGCGTTCCCAGACTTCCTCAGCACTCTGCCACCTACCATGAGTACCACACTGATCATTCCTTTTAAAAAAGCTCTGCTTGAAAGGCAGGGCATCAAAGAGGGGAGAGAGACAGATTTCCCATCTGTCTGTTCCCTACCCAAGTGGCCACAGTGGCCAGGGCCAGGCCAGGCCAAAACCGCCAGCCAGGAGCTGCATCCAAGTCTGCAGCATGGGTGGCAGGGGCCCACGCATGTGAGCCATCATCTGCTGCCCTCCCTGGCATGTTAGCATGGGAAGTGCGGCAGCCAGGATTTAAGCCGGTGCTCTGGTATGGGATGCTGCCATTGCGAGCAGTGGCTGGACCTGCTGTGCCACAGTGCTGGCCATAGCCACTTTCAGTTCTGTCCAGTATCCAGAAATGTGCGTGTTTTAATTAGTCTCTTCTAATTATGTGCTTTTTCTTTTCATTTTATCGCCTAATAATTAGACCCTAATCATGTCCCTTTTGCAGAAATGGGAAACATTGCTAGGCCTGCTCACTCCTCATCAAGCTGCACTACCCAGAGGCAGACAAGTACATCTGGCTCATCCCTCAGCCCACGCCCCTTGGAGTGGAATATGCTCCAGTTCCGAGCGACCTTTCCCACAAACCCCCCTTGTCTGATGCAGGTTCCTTGTTCCAGTGGGAGGGTGTCTGCAGCACAGAGGCCGACGGCTGGCACTCAGGGCCGGTCTCCCCGGCCAGGAGCCATCTTCCCCCGGCCTTTCTAATCTGTACTAGTCAGGTTACACCTGTCAGCACTGCCCTGTGATTTGTCTGTGTGGAGATAATATTTATCTCCTTAACTGGAGAGCGAGTAAGCCTCTGGACACAGGCCGTGATCCAGACCCGTCTCCCCACAGCGTCCGCCCAGCGCACTGCACAGCGCTCTCCCCAGATAAAGTGTTGATTAAATATGAACAGTCTCCTCTTGCGGAATTTGCCTTCCGGGTACCCTGAGGGGAGGGCCTGGTGAATAAGCCCCGCCTCTGATACCAGACCAGCCTGAGGTCTATAAATGGAAGTTGTTGGGGTGCAGTAGGTCCCCTCCCCCCAGGCTGTGTGCCCCACTGAAGGTTCTGGCTCTTAAGAACCCTTTGGGGTTGTGATGCAGAATTGTCGAGCACTGCCTGCCAGTACTAAGTTTTCCTCCCGCTCGGGGCGCCTGCCTGGAATGCTCTACCTCAGCTACTGGAACACCCTGCCTTGGGCTTCTGGGCTTTGTACCCTTCTGCCGGTCGGACTGGCTGGCTGCCTGGCCGTAAGGCACTCTGGTCACATGTGTGGCCTGCAGGGACTCCCCCAGACCGGTTTGACTTCCAGTGGCACAGTAACCCAACAGCCATTTTATTGACCTGTAACTCGCTCGCCGGATGGGTAGCGCCCAGGACAGTCTCGCCATTGCAGAGCCGTAGCTGCTTCCTGCAATGGCCCAGTCTCGTGCCTTCCTGTGCGGACAGTGAACACTGAGAGCTTCCATGATCTGCTCTTTAGCCAGGAAGGTGACACGGTGACACAGCGCCACAGCTGGGGATAGTTCACGACAGTCCAAGGTTTGGCTGCCGTTTAGGACGTTGGTGGAGAACCACACACCCCCAGGCCTGTCCTGAGCCAGCTCGCCCTGGCTCTGGCTCTGGCTCTCGGCTTTCTGCATGAGCTGCCTGTAAGCAGGCCCGAGCTAGGGTGGCCTGCTCTTGTTTTCAGACATGACCGAGCAACCGGAAGAACCGGAGGGGATAGGAGGAGGCCGGGTTCCGGAGTCGGGTGGACCCAAGTTTGGATCCAGGCTCTGCCACTGTGTAGCTGATGCTCTGAGTGAACCAGCACACTTCTCCAGGTCTTGGGTTCCTGCTGGAGCTACTTCTGAGCCTGTGCTTGTAATGTAAGCTCTGGGCAGCACCTGGCACCTGTCTGGCACAAGGAAGGCCCTGAGTAGCCATCAGTCTACCCCCTCAGCTTTGTCCCACCTCATCATCCGCTGGTCTCTGGCCGCCTGTGCCACTGTCACAGAAAGGCTTGGTTCCTTTACTGCCTGGACCCAGTCTTTATTTTGTCCCCTGTGCTTTTTCTCATATTGCAACAGGCGAGCCGGGCCCAAATCCTAGACAAAGCCACAGAGTATATCCAGTACATGCGAAGGAAAAACCACACACACCAGCAAGACATCGACGACCTCAAGCGGCAGAACGCTCTTCTGGAGCAGCAAGGTGAGCGCCAGGCCTGGGGGCTCCGGGCCGGTCCCGGAGCTGAGCTCTGAAGCAGCCTCGGCCCTGCTGTGGGAGCTGGGTAGCTGAGCAGTAGCGCTGAGAAGGGACCGAGCCGCCAGTGAGCAGACAGTGGGGGCTAGGGAGCTGGCTGCCTGCACATTCGGATCTCCCCGTCTTGGGGCTCAGGTGCTCACCTGCCGTAGGGGTCACACCTGGCATTGGGTGTGACAAGAGCTTGGAAGTCCTTGGAGTGGAATATGCTGTGTAAGTACCAGACTCCAGCTGTGCAGGGCCGGTGAGCCCTCCCCATCGTCACCACTAGTCCAGTCAGGGCGGCCTGTGGGCCAGGCCCGTGCTGTTCTCAAATGCTCACACCCGCCTTTTCCTACAACCACAGGGGAAAGCGAGAGCTGACCAAGGTCTTTGTTCCTGGGGAATTCACTTCTCTTCCTCCCTCATGGAAGATGCAAGTAAAAGGAAATGCAAGTAACCACTGGGCTAGAACACCTCACATAAAACACAGCACACTAAAGCAGATGGGCTGACCTGGCAGGCTGCAGGGCAGCGGGCGGCGTGAGCGGGTTGGTCCCAGGCAGAGCGGCTTGCACGTAGGGGCTGTGTGTCAGAAGGCCCAGGTACTTGGTGTGCATTGGTGAGCTCCTTCCAAGTGTCCAGCTTGTCCCTCCAAGTGGATCTTGTACAGGAGCGTGAAGCCGACACGTGTTCTTGGCTGAACAGCCTCAGGCCATCCTTTCCTGCTGTTGTGTGGCCCTCACCCTCTCGTGGAGGCCGGCGCGGCTGGGCCGGCTTCTCTGTCGTGGCACAGCTGACTCCCATGGGGAGCTCACACTCCCATCTTCCATGGCGGGACAGCGGCATCACAGGCCTCCTCTGCAGGCTTGGGAGGGCTGCAGAGTGGCCGTGTTGCTGGGCGCCCAGGTCCAGCTGGGAAAGGAGGGAGGGCAGCGGAGCGTGTGGGTGGAACAGCCACGAGCCACTGTGGGCCGTGGGGGCTGCCAAGCAAGCCCGTAGGAAGAACAGGCTGGACCCGGAGGCGGACGCCTGCTCGCCCTGCCCGCAGACGGCGGTAACGTGCTCCCTTGGTTGCCTTGTAGTCCGTGCACTGGAGAAGGCGAGGTCGAGTGCCCAACTGCAGACCAACTACCCCTCCTCAGACAGCAGCCTCTACACCAACGCCAAGGGCAGCGCCATCTCTGCCTTCGATGGCGGCTCGGACTCCAGCTCCGAGTCGGAACCGGAAGAGCCCCAAAACAGGAAGAAGCTCCGAGTGGAGGCCAGCTAAGCCGCGCGGGGCAGCCAGCAATACAAACTGTCGGCCTCCCCCTCGCCTCGCCTCGGCTCCTCCCGGTCATCGTTAGAGCCCTCACAACAATTTAAGAGACTCTATTTTTCTCTTTCTCTCTCTCTTTTTTTTTTTTGTTTTTTTTTTTAATTTTTATTTTTACGTAGAAGCTCTTGGACAACAGCTCGCGTCCTCCTTCCCCGTTCCCACTGTTTTTAAGAGATGTGTTCCCTTCAGGGATTCCCTGTCCCCACCAGGAGTTTTTAAACCAAAACAGCCCAACTTGGCAGCTTTTCCCTGGAGGACAGACGGCCGGCCGGCCCCCCGAGCACACGGCGGCCCACCCGCTGCGCCCGCCCGGCCGCTCCTCCTGGTCTCCCGCACCCGTGTTTGACAGACTTCGTGAATCTGTGAACTGCTCTCCAGCGAGAAGATGACCAATCTGGAATAATCAGAATGACGCCCCTCCTTTTTAAGGATTTTTTTTCTTGAAAAGTTATTTATCGCTCCTGTCGCAAAGACCAGATCCTGGGAGAAATTCGTGGCATATGAAAGTGGGACAGATTGGCAGCGCAGCTCTTCGGGCATCTATCACTGCTGCTTCTCTCACGAGCTGTGCAAGCCCGCGGTGCGGCCTGTGGGAGGCCCACGTGACAGTCTCGTGGTATGTATGGGAGACAGCAGCCGTGAAGCCGCCGCCACCAGCCAGTGGTGGGGGGCGGTTACTTGGGGGAGGGACAGGGAGGGCGGGTTGGGTGGGGTAGAGGTTTTGTATTGAGGGCCAGTGATGATGTTTTGATATTTATTTCCTGCTACTGAAATTTGAATCTGATTGTCCCTACTTCTGATGATGTCGGTATTGCAAAGCGACAGATTCATAAAGTAATGATCAAATCTTCCTTTCCGTGTGTATTTCTAAGATATAGAGCCAATTGATTTTTTTATGTAAATACCAAGAGCAATTTACCTGGTACTAAACCCGCACCCCAGTGCGGATCCCCCCGCCCTCCCGCAGCCCTGGCCCCACTCCCTTTCCTGCTGTCCAGGAACCTGTCTCCGCTGTGTGACCCGGCCCTGGTTCTGGCTGCGGTCAGCAGATCCCAGTGAAGGCGTTTGTGTGTTGAGGTCTCATTTCTTTGTCTTTTCCTACTCTGTTCCCGGCATTTGCTGATTTCTAGCGCATACTCTGTAGTCTGTCTGTGTTTGATTCCATTCCATGGAAATAAAAGTATGTTGTACATACTGCTCAAGAGTTGTCCTGCAAGATAAGGCTTCCCCCTTTACTATAAGACTATAAATAAAAACTTATTTTATCCTTCTTGGTGGTGGTGTCTTCTTGCCCCTGCAAAGGCCCAGAGGAAAGAGCCTTCTGGAAGCTCCTGGCCCTGTGTGGAAGCCTCAGAGGGCGAATAGAGCTCTCTTCCCTGGGCTTGCGGAACCAGAGCTGCTCCCCTTTCGCTGGGAGGTCTCGACTCAGCCTGAGAGCTGGACAGCGGACAGCGGCTGGCGGGGGCTCTGTTCACTGGCCACGGGCTTTCTGCGGTTCTGTGCTGCAGGTAGGGTTATCAGAGCGACACTTCCAGATCCAGTTCCTGCTAAGCACGTGCCCTTTGGGAGAACTGGAGGCCCTGAGCTGTGGTTTGGGTCCTCCTGGGGATGTAGGCTCGGTGTGGACGTGGCTAAGAGGGGGCAGTGCTGGAAGTCAAGGTTACAGCAGTATCAGGTTATATCTGCTTGGGCCCAGGATCCAACACCAGCCTGCACCCTTGCTTGATTTGGGGAGTAAAAAGCATTTATGGCTAGGACACAGTGCAGCTTTGATGGTCCTGTCTACCCGACGAGGGAGGCAGTGGAGCCGAGTCAGTTCGTTGACTAGAGTGGTAGGGAGTGCTGGGTACATGTCATCCGAATGGCACATCTGTGCTGTCTCCTTGGACACTGAGCGTTGGCTGTTGTTTCTCCCAAGTTTGAAACTCAAACGCCAAAGCCGTGATTAGATTAAACAAACTAAGGGGGCTCCTTCTCAAGGCAGAGGAGAGACGGGAGTTAGCAGTATGGGAAGTCAGGTGATTGCCTGGGCCCCCCAGGACAGCAGTGCCGCCTGCCTCTTTCATCCTCCTCCATGATCTCGGTGTCCCCAGCCTGAGACCAGCCGTGTCATTACCTACAGCTGGTTTGGTCAGGACAGGCACGGGGACTGAGATTCCAGTAGAACCAGGCGCCCAGTAGGCAGGCGGCAGAGCCAGCAGGGTGACGTCCCGAGAACCAGACCCTGGCTCCGGGATAGTGACCGGACAAGAGGGTGAATTTAGGCATCTGTAGATGCGAATGAACAGAAGCAAAAGGGGCACAGTGGCTACTTGGTTCACCTGGCGAAGCCGAAGTCCTGCGTGAGGAGGCTGGTGCTGCCGCGACGGGAACAAAAGGTGAGAGCTCCGGGACTGCACGGGGCCCCCCTGGAGTGAGTCTGTCCAGTGTAAGCACCCCCACGCCCCGCAAGATTGACTGGCGCTTGCCCTCTCTGCCCAGGGGAAGTCAGTACAGTTGGTTTTCCTTTTTTTTTTTTCTTTTTTGACAGGCAGAGTTAAGAGAGACAGAAATTCACCCCCCAAATGGCCGCTATGGCCGGCGCACCGCGCTGATCCGAAAGCAGGAGCCAGGTGCTTCCTCCTGGTCTCCCATGCGGGTGCAGGGCCCAAGCACTTGGGCCATCCTCCACTGCCTTCCCGGGCCACAGCAGAGAGCTGGACCAGAAGAGGAGCAACCGGGACAGAATCCGGCGCCCCAACCGGGACTAGAACCTGGGGTACCGGTGCCGCAGGCAGAGGATTAGCCTAGTGAGCCGCGGCGCTGGCGCAGTATGGTTGGTTTTCATCATTACTCTGCACGCAGTCAGCTGCCCAAAACCAGATAACCTGCTGGGCTGCTTGGTCCCTACAGCAGGTGGCTTCGCTGAGGGGCCTGTTAAAAGTAGCTGCTTTCTCTGCGGCTAGGGTGAGCTCACCATGCCCTCTACCTTTCCAGTCAGACCCGGCGTGAGGGTATTCACAGTGGCCCTGTTTCTGAGGTCCTTCATGGACCAGTCCCATCGTTAAGACAGCTACAACATCAGTAAGAAAATCAGCTGTGCTCACAGAGCGGTCATCTTAGCTAGGGTGGGTCTGCCAAACAAGGCCAAGTACACAGCCAGTGTGTGTGTGCTGGCCCTGTCAGTAGCCTCAGTGCCCTCCTCTATACAATTCCTGCTCTCATGAAGTGATGTTGACAAAGGGCTTGACCTCGGGACCCAGTGAGCACCCAAGTGCTGGCTGCTACCTGAAAACACCTGTGACCAGGAAGGAAGCCCAGCCCCCGGACACCTTCCCTGCAGGGAGGGAGACGTTTCCCACCCCTATCCTGTCCCAGCAAGGGTTACTGAAGCAAGGGACAGCAAGGAGACACGAGGACCCCAGGGCCCTGCGGGTGCAGCCGTCGACTCTGGTGTAGCTCTGCCTGGTTCCCACATTGTGGGGCTGTCTCTGGGCTTTGGTCACCCGTGGAGGCCCAGGCAGAACTGCTCAGAGGGGGTCTTGGGGCCACGCTGGAAGTGCTTGTTAAGAGGATTTCTGGCTCCAGCTCCTGCCACCTGAAGCAGTGGCACAGCCAGAGCAAGGCTAACAAGTTACCCCCCGACGGCCCTCAACCCCACTCAGGTTTGACCTGTGGCGGGGAGAGGCACAGCTGAGCTGAGCGGCCTGCTGGATCTGAGATCCGTCTCCTAAGGCTGTTCGTGGAGGCAGGTGGCTGGGGAGCCAGCCACTGGGCAGGCGCTGCCCTGCTCACGGTGGGGCCCTCACTTCGGGGCTTGGAAGAAAGCCCCGGGTTGCCCGCCACCCCCTTTAGAAACCCGAGCAATGTGCCTGCTTTTAACGCCTCGCACTACTGGCTCTGGTCCCCAGGCAGGATTATAACCCCGCCAGAGCGAGCCCGTCCCCAGCCTGGTCGCCAGGCACTGGTCTCAGCAGCCCCCTGGGTCTAGGAATCTAGACCTAGGGAGGGAAAAGGAGTTTGCTGATGAGAGAGAACTTCTTGATCCTGGGGCAGGGATTAATCAAACCCACCCCCAGTCAGCCCTGGGAAAGGGGATACACGGAAAACATTTTCTGGTGGATTCCTCCGGTAGAAGATCACGCGGACCCAATGTCCCGTCCCTGAGAGTTGGGCTCACCGCCGGGAGGACTGGAGTGGCCACAGCAGGCAAGCGCATGCCCGTTGCTGATGGCCATCGCCCGGCTGGTAAGTGGTTTTGCTCCGGACTTCGTTGTGGCCGCTGCGCGGGAGGGGAGCGCGGGTCAGCAGAGCTGGTGCAGGGGCGCTGGCCAGGGCCTCCAAGCCCGCCCACTTGTCTGGTTGGCGTGTTGGCCACAACCCTTACCTCCCTGGCGATGCTGCTCTGGTTTTGCGGTCACATGGGATCCATCGTAGCACCATGTGGCACGGTGACGCTTGCAGGTGTGCGTGTGAAAAGCCTTGAACTTGTACCTGGTGCTGGGTGAGTGCTAGATCAGTCCTAGCTGCTTGTGGACTGTCTGCCATGCCAGGGCCTGGGCCTGGGTTCTGTTGAAATACAGAGTGAACAGATGCCGTCCCGACGTTCCAGGGTTGGATGCACTGAAGTCCGTACAAGAAAAGGGAGGTGAATACCTGTAGCGTGGCAAAGGACAGGAACAAAAATGCCCGGCCTGTTCGCTGAAGGGACTCAAGCAGGGTCGCAGGTCTGGCACCTCTTTGGACGAGAACCACACCCTCAGGGCTGGGTCAGAGCCACAACCACCGGCCTGCTGGTGACTCGGCCCCCGTTCTGCATTCCCGTGTCAGATTGTCTTTCTGTAGTGCCTGTCGGCCAGCACATCCTGGGCCTGCCCGGTGTAGCTTTTATATATATATATATCTTATATATAAATATATATATATCTTATATATATCTTATACAAATCGTATATATCTTATGTATATAAATCTTATATATATCTTATGTATATCTGATTATATAAATTATATATTATATAAATATATATATAATATATATAGAATCTGATTAGGGTAGTGGTGGAGCCATCTTGTTTTTTCCCTCACAGGGTCCCTTAAGCACTGCCTGGTGGAGTGGAGTGGGGTGGGGATGGACAAGCCCACCGATTGGACCCCCAGGGGCATCTGTTGCATGCACACACACACACACACACACACACATTCACACACCCTGCGGGATGGGCGTGTCTCAGCACCTGAGCTGGAGGCCCTGGACCATTCCCGGAGCACCTATGCTGTGTGCTGGCGCCCCCAGCAGGTCCCGGTGAGGATCACTTTTTTTTTTTTTTTTTGACAGGCAGAGTGGACAGTGAGAGAGAGAGACAGAGCAAAAGGTCTTCCTTTGCCGTTGGTTCACCCTCCAATGGCCGCCGTGGCCGGCACACTGCGCTGATCCGATGGCAGGAGCCAGGTGCTTTTCCTGGTCTCCCATGGGGTGCAGGGCCCAAGCACTTGGGCCATCCTCCACTGCACTCCCGGGCCAGAGCAGAGAGCTGGCCTGGAAGAGGGGCAACCAGGACAGAATCCAGCGCCCTGACCAGGACTAGAACCCGGTGTGCCGGCGCCTCAAGGCGGAGGGTTAGCCTAGTGAGCCGTGGCGCCGGCCTTCCCAGCGCCATCTCTAATGTTGGCTCTTTTTTTTTTTTTTTTTTTTAAGGCAGAGAGGATGAGAGAGGGAGAGAGATCTTCCATTTGCTGGTTCACTCCCCAAGTCGCCACAATGGCCAGGGATGGTCCAGGCCAAAGCAGGGGCCCCAAGCACTTGGGCCACCTCCCACTGCTTCCCCAGGTGCATTGGCAGGGAGCTGGATCAGAAGTGGAGCAGCTGGGTCTTGAACCAGCGCCCATACAGGATGCCGGCGTCACAGGGGGAGGCTTGACCTGCTTGCTATGCCACAGCGCCGGCCCCTCTATTCTTAACCTTCTCCAATAAAATAAAAGCCAGGGGAGAAGTGATCAAGAGCCAGTGTTAAGAGCTGTGCCAGAACCTCCCACTCCCTCGCTGAATGTGGTGAATTCAGCCTCTTCCCAAGACGAAGCAAACCTGACAGTGCAGGCTGCTGGAGAGGGGCGTGGCCTCTCCGGAGGCGTCTGCTCCCATAAATGACCACATGGTACGCGTTCACTCGCGCCCGGCCCGGCGGGGTTCGGCTGGCGGTGTGGCTCTTGTGTACGGTGCTTGGGAGCCTCATTGTCCCCCACCTCCTGGTGCCACCTGCAGAGGCAGAGCTAGGCCAAGAGCAGTGTGGC